CACACACCAGATCTACCTCATTCAGGAGATTTGGTACTATCACCCCCCCCCCCCTTTTTTTTTTTGACTCGCATTTGACATAATGTTCTTTTAAAAATTGTATTTAATATGGCACATAAATGATTATTTTTTCTTAAACACATGCAAAACGTTGCAATTTCTAATCAATGAAATAACTGATAGAGTACTTGATTACTGAAATAATAATCTGTACGTATGTCCAAACAATGGTAAGAATTGGTATATGCCTTGATAGCTGTGGCTCAAAAATAATCATGAAACAAAAATAATCATTATGTTTATTTTCACAGCTCATCATGCAGGTGCTCCTCAACATTTAACAATGAGAATCACAATGTTGAGCAAATGTCCTTGGGTCATGACTTCAGAAACAAATTACAAACATCTGTTGGAACAGATATATTTTTGCACCTTAGTTATTTATTTTTTTTATCCATTGCTTTGAAATGGAACAATTAAATGTACGGTCTGTGTCTTTAAAAACTGTCTGATGGTCACAAACTGCTGTTTTACCCTGCACGCTCACACAGTCATTCAGATTCAGCAATGGCGTTAAAAATGTACTTTTCATCGAGAAATACCATAACTTCATTCTAAAATACAAACATAAATGTGCCAGATGTTCATCTCCTCCTCTGTGTTTTTCTGATTCTGCAGCTCATCTCCACGCGGCCCCTCCACCTCTCCGTCTGCACACAGTATTAGCACCCCAGAGAAGAACCGTTTCCCCCGTGGTACCACCAGTCGCAGCACTTTTCACGGAGCCCAGCTCAGAGACCGCCGCAGCGCCACCTACAACGGACCTCCAGCTTCACCCACATTGTCTCATGATACGGGGGCTCTCGCTCAACAACGCAGGGGCACCTCTACAGGGATCATTAGCAAGATCACCTCCAAGTTTGTCCGCAGGTCAGTGCTTTGTACCTTAGAGTCGTTGCACCCAGCAGTTATTGTACCACCGTGGTCTCAGACTCAGAGCTACATGTTAAACAAATATTTGACTGAGAACAGCTCAACGCTTTCAAAACTGCAGGATGTAAAGCCATACTTTACTCATTTATACTTCCTTTGTGCTAAGGTGCTTTTATTATTGAAGGGAAATGCAGGTTCTACAGGGAGAAACATTCATGTGCTCCTGGTGTAGTCCCATTTCCAGATCAGGAAGTCGTTCTTCCTGCTTTGTTTTGTTCAAACTTACAGTACTGTGCAAAAGTCATGAGCCACCGCTCGTTTCTTCTTATTTTGCTTGGATAATGGAAGACAAGTGCAGTGATTTACTTAAATGTGCAAACATACATGGAAATAACATCTGGTTTGACCACTTTTATTTTTTCAACACAACCTCTGTCTTGTAATTTCTTTAAGTAGTCTTGAGGAATATTTCTCCAGGCTTTCTAAAGGACATTCAGAGCTCTTCTTTGGGTGTTAGCTGCTTTTTTTTTCCTGCCATGTAGAAATAATGTTTGGTTTGATGCTCTGAGGTGGCAAATCCACGACTGAATCTGTGTTTTGTTTTCTATTCAAGTAGTATGCTTTAGCTGTGTGTTTGGGATCATTGTACCACTGAAAAATGAAGTCCCTGCCAACCAGACATTTTTCAGATGCTGTTGCATGCAAATTATTCTATTTTTGACAGGATCCCAAACCCCACTGGCTGAAATGCAGCCCTAAACCACAACAGGAGACTCCAGCATGTTTTACAGAAGACTGTAGACACTCGCTCCTGCCATCCTTTATACTTATTGATGGCAATTTATACCAAAACGCTCCTTGAAAACAAATTATAAAGAAATGAGCAGTAACTCAAGATTTTTGCACAGTACTGTACATTAATTATCTAAATCAGAAAGTCACTTTTCTTTCTAGTCTGACACCAAATTAATATACAGTTATTTTTTAAATAGATTACAAGGCAGTTCAGAAAAGGACTTGAGTTTCCTTCCATGCTAGCAGCTCTGTAAGGCTATACTTGGTAAAAACATGCTAACAGGCTCACATTAACAATACCAGGTGTTAGCTTTATCATGGTCACTGTGTAAGTTTAACAAAATAAAAAATACAGCTGAGGTGAGGTGAATTATGTTGCAGGTATCAGTCATTGGACAAATTATTAGATGCATTCAAATCTCGATACACAACAAAAATCATCCCTGGACATACTGTGTGTCTCTGTGTAAAAGTTACTGAAGTGATTAAAGGAGTTGCGACGTTTGTTCGGATTCCTTTATGTAACTTTCCGGGTATAAAAATGAAGGAAGCGTCACGCTCTCTGCCTGTTTACTATAAATGCTGCATAGTTTTCCCCAGTCCTCTGTGAATATCACACATCCACACTGCCACCCCTCGTCATCCATACAGCAGTTAGCACCTTCACGCTGGTCCATCTGGTGGAGGCTCACAGCTTTCTCTCCTTTTCTCCCCGCCTAGAGCTCTGTCTTTCAGGTCGACCCAGAGGTAGGAGAACATAACGCTTGCTGCACTTGTCACCCCCGTCCGAAATAAACCAAACCTCTTTGTGCCCACTATGACCTTGGCCCGTGTTTCCTTAACCCCTTGCGTACTTGCCCACTACACCACGTCCTTGCCTACTGACACCCTTTGTTATGCAGTTGTATTTCCCTCCCTTGTGTCCACTGCCTCTTAAACAAACCTCACGGCTCACCAGCTTCTTCTGTACTAAGCCACCAGATATCTGCTTCTCAAGTTGCTAGCTTTCCTCTCCTTATTCTCCCCCATCCTTTGGCTGAGCTTAACAGAAAAGACCAGGCAAAAATCCAGAGGCCGAATGGACTGTCTAGAAATGCTTTTCCGCTCTTTGCAGATCAGTGGGGATTAAGGAAAGGTAGCGTATTGTAGATGGGATGATGCATTTGGTTAATGTGAGCTATAATAGAATGACCCTCAAAACAAAGACCGTCACAGTCACCTCATTGTGTGCTGAACCCTGATACCCAGGAGTGTGGATTCTTTCCTGGCATGATGCCTGACACCCCCTCTGTGTCCAGTCATGATGGGGGTGGTGTTTAGTAGTGAGTCGGGGCGGGGCTGCATGTGTTGATATGATCCCAATGGAATAACGAGTCTGTTCCTGGTTTATTTCAGGGTACCTAGTGAGGGAGAGGCCAGTGCCAGGACAGAAACACCAAGGTAAGAATTTGTGAGATGTCAAGTTCACAGAGAATGTGAAACCCACCTCTGCCTACTTCCCCTGTCCCCGCTCTCACTCTCTCCCTGATGGTTTCTTGCTCAGGAGTGCGTCTGGTGACACTAAGGAGGACGGCAGTCGGGATTCAAAGCCTCGCTCCCTGCGTTTCACCTGGAGCATGAAGACCACCTCCTCCATGGAGCCCTCGGAGATGATGAGGGAGATCAGAAAAGTCCTGGACGCCAACAGCTGCGACTACGAGCAGCGCGAGCGCTTCCTGCTTTTCTGTGTCCATGGCGACGCTCGCCAGGACAATCTGGTCCAGTGGGAGATGGAGGTGTGCAAGCTGCCCCGCCTTTCGCTCAACGGCGTGCGCTTCAAGAGGATATCGGGCACGTCCATCGCCTTTAAGAACATCGCCTGCAAAATTGCCAACGAGCTCAAACTGTGACAGCAGATGGAGCCCCAGTCAGTCTTTTCTCTGGTCGCAGTCTCATCTCATCACTGGATTAGTGTCGACTCGCAGGACAAAATTCAGCACTGATGGTCCTCGCCATGCAGTATCAGGGTGGACTCGGCTGGTAAACGTGCAATACTGGCCACGAATGTACTGTACAGGGTAGTGGATCAGAGAGATATTGCAAAGTTTAACGTCTGTGACGGAGAGATAGCAAAAAAGAAAACATTAAAAAAAAACCGGCTAACCCAGCTTTTTTTTTCTCCTTCCGTCCGGCCCTCTGTCTCTCTCTTTCTCTCTCTCATCGGCCCGCTGCTCCACGTCAGAAGACGCATTTATGTAACACATGCAGTATGCAACTGAAGATGACCATCCTGCAATAATGTTTTCAGTCTTCTTTTTCTAAACGCCTACTACAAGATCTACTCTCCTCGCTGAATAACCATTAAACTTACCGTATGCTAAACTAGACGCTTTTCCACCTGTGTTAAGTCAGTATATAGATCAGGCTGGAGCCCATATGTAAAAAGAGAATTGTACTGTATGCATAACATCTGCAGGTACTGTATTGTACTGTATATTAATTTAGCGTTCTGTACAGACTTTTATTGTTAATACTGTCTTTTTTTTTTTTCATGGGATTTGAGTTCTTTCCTAATATAATTGATGTCTCTTGGAGCATTAATCTTTCACTCTGTTTTTTTTTTCTCTTCTCTTTTTTTCTTTTTTTTAAGAGCCACCATATGGAAATAGTGTTTTCAATTTTATTTAAAAAGCACTAAATTATTTTGTGGAAAATTGAGGGATTTGTTCCCTTGCCTTTTATGTTATATTTTTTTGCCTATGGAAAAAAAACACTAAGTTGCACCACATAGACTTGAGTAGTAAGTTCAGTTAAAACTGAAATTGTGTTCACTTTATTTTCTCTCGGCAGTAGGTTGGTGATTTGGGGGTCCTGCTGCAATTGCACAACTTTTCCAGGGTGATGTGTATGAACATGAGAGTATGCACCTGTATTTCTTTGATGTTAGTTTGGTAGTCCTCAATTGCGAAGAAAAAAAAAACAGCAGGGTTTAAATTGGTTTACTTTAGAAAGCGCCTGACAGGATGATACATGACGTGTTGATCGCCACGACGAGGCATTTTATTTTTTCTTTGATGGAGCCTTTCTAAAGAGCCTGATTTAGTCCTGCCACCAGTGTGATTGTGCAGGTACTTGTATCTCCTTGCTTGTGTGTTAATTTTCTTTCTTTCATTTTTTTTTTTTTAATTTCAGCGGATTTTATTGTATTTATTCCATTACATTGTAATGTGCTGCTTTGTAGATTTGAGGCGTGCACTTTGTTGGAGAAAATAAAAAGGATTTTATTTGTTTGTATTTATTTTACTCCTATTTTTTTCATATCTGACATAATTACACATCCAGGGTTCAGGACAGTTTGCCTCATTTAGCTTAAGTGCTGTGCAACAGTCTCGAGTCACCACTGATTTCTTTACATCCAAGGAGCCAGATGTTCTTCAAATTTTTTTAAGTAGTCTTGAGCAGTAGTTCTCCTGGCTTTCTGCAGGTCCCTCGCCATCCTTATTTGGACACTGAAACCACAGAGCCTATGAACGATTTCAAAGATCACAGTTTGACAGGCATAAAATAGTATTTGTGTACAAATAAGATGTTTCCCAAACAGTTATTGCTTGAAAAATGACTTTAAAAAGGCCTTGAAAAATTCTAAGACATGTGGAGGACAAAAGAAATGGAAGGCATACATTTTTTTAACCAATTAACAGTATCTGAGTGTGATGTCATTAAGCAACAGAAAATGAAATCCAGCAAAGACCCGACACAGGACCAAAGAGATTCAAATGGCCCTTCAGTTGATCCATTTGCTCTTAACTGAAGCTTGATCAGAGGTCTCAGTGGAAGGATGGCTGTGAGAAAGCCATTCTTAGGGAAGGGTGAAGTGTGCCAAATTACAGAAGAACTGGACTGAAAATCTGAACCACTTTTGATGTATAATCAGTTCCATGTATGTTTGAATAAATTGCCCTTTCCTATCAAAATATAAAGAAATGAGGATTGGCTCAAGACTTTTGCACAGTACTTTAGTTATGCTGTTGTGTTTTTGGCTTTAAGTATGTCACACTGAAGACATATCATGCTACACAGCACTAGCAGGGAACTCCGATGAAATGTTAAGCTTTATTGACTCTAAATTGCATGATATCAATCCTAATTATGACACAGTCAGTCACATTAGTCAAAGGTAAAGCATTATGACAAATGTCCTCCTTCATTTCAGTGCCCAAAAATGGTTGAAAATACCTTCAATAGTTCCCAGTTGTGAACAGCTGTATTTTCAATACTTTAAACATTATGCAAACTATTACAATAAAAGCATAAGCTGCAAGGATATACAAGTAGACTCTAACCTTTGATATTTTCCAAATCAAAGGCATCATTTCAAATCATTCTCCAACAATTATCTAATAATAATCTGTCGCGGTCGTTGGTAAACTCTTAAAAACTCTTAAAAGCTTCATTTACAAATGGAAAGACAGGAAAAATGTAAACGTTTCATTTTGGCAGATTTCTTCAGTTAAACATGTTAATAGGTTAAAAAGTACACTTTCATTTGTTTCTGTAGATAAATATATGACATTAGAAATGTATAAACATTGAGTGACACAAAAGGCTGAACACACATTAAAAATTAAAAAGTTACTGGCCAGTGTTAGATGTATTAGTGAACATAGATCTGCATTTATTGGGATGGGACGGCCCGTGTAAGGCCCTGGTCATGCATTAATGACTTGACAACATATGCGATCTAATCCTAACTTGAGGTGCATGCACTGGACTCAAAATGCATCTCGGTCATATGCTTGGTTGAGATGCATACATTTATCCTTTAATCTACTGTGCACTAATTTAACTAGAAGAGTTTGAAAATCAGTAGGAGTAATGGCTGCTGTTCTCAAGTTAGGATCAACGCTTTCTGAGTTGTTCAGCACTGCATCTGCTGCAACAGCCTGCTGTCTAGACAAAAAAAAAAATCACAAAATTCACCCACCAACCAATCTGCAACAGAAGAAAAATTAGCTCAGTTGCTCAGATCGATGATCCGGTGCTCATAGATCTGAGTTTTCCCTTTGAAACTGGAGGCCAGCAGGAATTGACGGTTGTCTATGGAAACTGGAGAGAAGGCCCTCGGTGCCTGTATGTTCAGCTCCTGAAATCGAACAAATTCGCCCTTCTTGGCATCCCAGCGGTAAACCTGGGTGAAAGAGTAATCGCTGCCAAGGATGGCGTATTGCCAGTTTCCCACAGCGAAGGGCTGGAATACCATGGAGCCACGAGAAGGCATGGTCTGCAATTCCCTAAAGAGGGCCCCGTCCCAGCGCATCACTTTGGAGTCACCAATGAAGCGCGTCAGGCAGATATACAGGTCGTTTTTGACCTGGAAATGTTTCACAGCGTAAACATCCTCCATCTCTGGGATGTCGGTGCGCCTGTCAAACATCTTGGTGCCTTTGTTCCACTGGTAGATGACGGGCCTCTGGGAGCTGCTGGACAGGATCAGGTGAGGCTTGGAGGAGATCTCCATGTACTCCACATCGGTGTCCCGATACCACTGGTGGAGGGACTGATGCCAGTAGAAGCCATTTCCGTTCCACTTGTAAATGGTGGTGGACCCGGCCTTGGAGCTGTCCGCTATGACGAAGAAGAATTCGCCATCGATGCGGAACGTCTCAACGTCGTTTGGTTTGCGGATTCGCAGGATGTCGATGCCTTGGAGCTTGATGAATTTGTTAGCGGACGTGTCACGCTTGTAGATGTGCGAGCCACCAAACAGCTGAGCCACAATGATAAAAAGCTGGTTGTCAATGACCAGGGGTTTGCAGACCACCGTGGATGTACCTGGTGAAGCAGAAGACAGGATAAAAAATAAATATCTTTCACCTCCAATAATTATCTCCATTGAGAGGTTTGAATCACCCCTCCTTTCAAACTTGCACAGCCCTTTTCCAAAAAAATGCATCTTTCACTTACTCTCAATAAAATCAAAGTTTCTGAAGACCATCTCCACGTGATCCCACTCTAGAAAGCTGCACTTCCCACTGAAGGGCTGAGCGAACACAACGTACTGGTCATTCCCAAAAGAAAATGCTTCCACTGATATGGAGTTAAAATCCATGGACTGGTAGGATTCAAACTCTGCAAGTGAAACAAAAAACACCCACTTGAAATAACTTTTTTTTTAATCCAGTGAAACTTTGAGAGAAAACAACTGCATTTATTGTACTCCACCTGTGGTGATGCAGTCGAATGACTGTGGCAGGAGGTCGTTGATCTTTTTGTCGAGCTGCGAGGCCGGGCCTTTACAGTAAATCTGATCCACGGTGGCATTGGTGCTGTATATCCACTCCACCAGCCATTTGAGCTTGCAGTCACAGGTGAACTGGTTCCCCCTCAAGTCTCTAAAGGGAAAACACCACCAAACTAAAGTCCGCATGCTGTATTAAATGCATTCAGAAAGGCCTCTGCTTTATGAATGCATTTAATTCCCAAAAGCTGGAGTTACTGAAGTGTGACTACTGTTAGCTTTGCTCTGTGGCCCTCACAGCTTCAATCTTTGCCCTCATTATCATCAAGGGGGACTATAAAGGAGAACCGGACATCTTCAGTGGGTGATAGATTGCAAACTTATCTCTTTCCTCACTGCTGCATGCAATTTTAATAGTGTTAAAAGCACCAGCTGCCCACACATTTTTCGAGCCTCGGCTGAAGTGGAATAATGATACAGTGTTCTATATATAGAAGGCTGCACAGAAAACTCATTTATCTCAGTAGCACGCATGTAAATTGAAACGCAATGAATCTCTTTGTTAGGCAAAGGTAAAATTCATACTTACACTTTTGTCAAGGCCTCGAGACCCTTGAACAAATCTTTGGGCAGCGTCTCAAGATTATTGTAGGCCAGACTCCTGAAAATAGAT